CCCTTGGACAAGTAGTTTTTTAAAACATTTCCACACCCCTGGGCCAATATATACACGCATTTCTAAACTGATGACCTGTGGGGGCTTTTAAAATGTTGTGTATGGGCTTTTTGGGGTACTGAATTCTGTCACAGTTTCACGGACGTACGCAATTTTTAACCTGGGCATGTTGGGTATCTATTTACTCGTTCTAACATCATCTTTTATATTTTACAAAAAAATTGTGTTTTGGGGCACTAAATTTACCTTAAGTGCATTTTTCACAAAATATTTGGGTAATAAGTTGCGCTAGTGTTGTGCAACATAAAAATTTGCAACTGCCACCATTTTATTCTACATTGTCTTGGCTTTCAGAAAATATATAATGTTCGGGAGTTTGAAGTCATTTTCAGGCCTAAAATGTGGATTAGAACATGTAAACAAATGAAATAAATGCCTGAAGGGGTTAAATTAGATGGCTGGGAGCCTAAGATCTGCTCAAAAAAACAGTGCCAACAGTTCTGAACTTTGTACCTGTAAACATTGAGAAGAAATGTCTTGCACTGCTTGTTCAGAATATGTAAATCATTTAGGGCCCGTTCACACCAGATGCAGTGCGGTCCAGCCCGATTCTGGGCAGAACGCACAGCCTCGCATTGTGGCGGGCTCGCTTTTTTGTGGGGCGTGGCGGGCCATTAAAGTGAAGTGAAACCATAGCCACGCCCTTCGGCCGCAATGCGGTCGCCCGCACGGGATCTCAAGGCAAATTATGCCTGTGGTCCGGTCCGATAAAAATGCGACAATCACTATTTTGATCGCAAGCATAATGTGCCTTGCGATCCCGTGCGGTTGACCGCATTGCGGCCGTGTGGCGTGGCTATGGTGCCATTCACTTCAATGGCCCCCCTACTGCCCCACAAAAAAGTGAGCCCGCCACAATGTGAGGCTGTGCGTTCGGGCCGGAACGCACTGCATCTGGTGTGAACGGGCCCTAAGTGTGCATGATCTGGGCACAGGTTCACTTCATTGCTGTGCAATACTCCTGAACTATGTGGCTTTTCATGTTAGTGTTGTAACAGGCATTAGCCTCAGTTTACTAGTGTGCAATGATTATTTGTCAAAATGACTTATTTTCAGCAACAGGAGCTGAAAATAAGTCATATGGCTAATAACGATTGCTGTGGACAGGTGACTTTAAATGATCCATAGTACAACTACATGTTATGTACTATGGATCATGATTTAACCTATTCATGTTAGCAGGGGAGAATTGTAAATCTACTGCTGCAGTGCATTCTATATGTAGCACATATACAGTACTTCTAGAATGCACTGCAGCAGTAGATAGTTTTTTGTGTGAACAAGAACAAAGCCCAGGCTCCGTCTTACTCACTGTTGCCTCGATCGCGGTGCCTCACGATTTTCCTCACACGTGAGGACGTCGTCGTCGCCGCCGCACACCGGAGCAGCAGTGACGCGTTCGGAAAAATCCCGTAGCGCGAGCTTGGTCTTATACTCACCATCGACTTGATGTAAGAATCTTCACTGTGCCCATTGCCCAGTCTGGCAGCTGCATTCACTAAAGGAAAACATGTATCAAAAGTACAGTTGTCCTTCAAACTCTTTCATCATGTCACATCAGCACCTTTTGCAGCAGAGAGGTGTAGTAGCTACAAATATCCCTGGTGATATGTGACTGGCTACAGAGTTGCTTCTGAAGCTGGCTCTAGTTTTTCCCTGTGCAGCTACAATGATTGTGTGCTTGGTGAGCACTAGCAGCTGCACTGGATAACATTACCAGCTACTGAACCTAGAAAGTATGCCATTAGCTTTAAATCCCTCAGTGACAGAGGTACAACTCACTGGAAATTGCTGGGACACAAACTTTCATTGACTCCAGTTTAATTTTCCCTACTCTTCATAGGCCACTTCTAGACACTATTGGGCAGAGGCGTAACTAGAACCTTCAGGGCCCCGGTGCAAGAAACCATGTAGGGCCCCCCCAACCCCCCACCGCCATGGCGGCATGTGGTTAACAGGAAGGCTGCCGAGATCACCAGCAAGCGCGGGACCTCATCAGCCACTTCAGTTTAAAAATTTAGTGTCAGTGTTCTGTCAAACGCCAACCCAGTATCTGCGCTCGCTCACAGACAGAAATAACGAGGAAACCGACATTTATTTACAAAGTATTAATTTGTAATGGTTAATTGTGACCATTAATAATATGCCGTCCATGGCAGTAAATGATGGGTGGCAGCAAATGACGGATGCAATATTATTAACGGTCACAATTAACGATTAAAACGAAATACTTTGTCAATAAATGTCTGTTTCCTTAATAATACTGGTCTGTGCGCAAGCGCAGATGCTGAGATCGGCGTTCTCGACAGAACACCGGTATCTGCACTTAGTATCGGGGCATTATCACGAGTACATGTACTTGTGATAATGCCCAGTATTGGCACTGGTGCATCCCTACTTAAAAATATAATTCATTGCTGGGACTTGTAGTCCCGCATAGTTGGTGCTATTCTGCATTGCTGTATAGTCATACAGCAATGCAGAATACTACCAGCTATGTGGGACTACAAGTCGCAAGCAAAAGCATAGTGGATGCAAATCAGACACCTGCCTGCATTCATACATTTTGCAAAAAGCTTAATTTAATGGTGATCTGGCATAACAATGTTGGGTAGCAAAGAAAACAGATCTATTGTGTGACCAATAAACAGTTGTAGGTGTCAAGTACGTAACATTTTTAGAGTACATATATTTTATCTGGGTCGATAAACTGGGTAGGATAGCAGCATGTACAATATCTCTTCCGAATGTTACCATTCCCCAAAGAATTTCACTCAGCAGCAATTAATGTAGATTTTATCCATTAACATTTGTTTATGATGGAGCGAAACCCCTAGGGTCTTTGACAAACACCAGCTGACAGGTTGAATGCAACCCCCTGAACTGTTTTCAGAAGAGCTAACAGTAAATATGGCTTAATCCCTGCAAGGCACTATGTTACCATGGGAACTAAACTAGAAAAACATATAGATACTATTTTAAGATGTCATTTCTAACATTTTACCTGTTAAATTTCCACCGCTTAATTGGTTCAGTCCTTGAGGGGCTTATAAATGTCCATACGTTCAAAAGAATAGGGAAAATGAAAAGTATGAATGACTGTACCTAAAAATAAAACTTCTCATTCAGCTTGACAATATCTTGGACAAATAAGCGGCTTTTCTTATTCTATATTGTTCTAAGCCCTCATGAAATACAGGCACAGCTTGTTTATTAAATATTGCTAGTTTAGAGGGATGTTTCTTTCTCATTTTCTCATACTTGTGGAGGTTTGCAGGTAATGGATAGATTACTCCAAGATCATGTGTACTACAAAAAAATAGGATTTTTTTTGTACTCGCCGTAAAATCCTCTCTTTGGTGAGGGACACAGTGAAGATCTTTGTTCTCGACTGTTGGGACGTCCCGAAGTAGAAAAAGCCTAAGCAAAAATAAGGATTCCCTGCAAAAGAAAGGGAACTAAGATTCCCTTTTGCCCGAGTTCTGCTTTAACAAACTAAGATTGTATGAAAAGCGAAATAAACATACTGAAATAGAAGAAAAAAAAATCATGTGTTTACTGTGGGAGAACAGAAAAGCATGAATTCATCTCTGATGATATTTAAATGTGTTACATCATTACTTCCCAATAATAAGCTAGGATAACAACTTGCCACAAGTATACGGGTACATTTTACAGTCTTATTAGGTATGTTGTATTTGGGAATCATAACTGTTTCATGTAAACACGCAGTGAAATACTTCTGTTCATGACTTCAGCTGCCCAAACTGTTTTGAATACCATCTCTGAGACAGAGACAGGGTTCCACGAGGTGACAGACTTGACCCATGATGAACTGTATGCGTTGAGAAATACAGTTGATATTAGTGACTGTTAGTGTTTGTTGCTCTGAGCATCATTCGCTTTATTTCAGAGAAAATTGCAGCTGAAACAAAGTTCTGTAGTAACTTTTAAGTTAAAGGATCAAGCTGTACATTCATGCTTTCTTTTTTGGTATCCATTACCATTAAAGTTTTGCGACGATCTTGCTGCAGCCAGTAAAGCATCTCTGTTTTGTCCCACTTCATTTTTTCAGTATATGGTCTGCCCTGGAATAGATAAAAATACTGACTGTTAGCAGCTAATTAGGGCTCATATTACATATCATAAATCCTCATATTACACGCGACCTGGAAAGAAAGTATGCTAATAGCATTCGTTTTTGTCTCCAATCTCACAGAACGAATGTACAGGCAGTCCCCGAGTTACAAACATCCGGCTTACATACGACCCCTACTTACAAACGGAGGCTAGTACTGTACAGCAGGGGGTCCCGGGCTGCAGCCAAAGTGTACCGCGCAGCGTTCCACTAGTTGTAATGCTACTGCGCTAGTACCAACAAGGAGTGCCGGCCTTTTTGGATCTGGTTTGTAGTACTGTACGTACATTACAAGAAGTTGACTCTTGTTAGACGTGCAGACGAGGGGTGCCCGCCTCTTCTTCCGGGTCACTGTGAGGTTTTTACTGCTGTCTGTATCCTCATTAGAAAGATTTAATCTCACCTTCTGTCTTTGAGACAACAGGAAGTGAGAGGAAATCTACCCCTAGGAAGGGATATTTACTCCTGCAAGAGCGATCATGGGAAAAAGGTGTCTCCACTGAAACTTTATCACCAATCCTTGCTTCCACGACAACCCAAATTTTTCAAAATCCAATTGTCACAGGGACAGAAAGTGAGGTGAAATCTTCTGAACAGGGGCACACACAGCAAAACAAACGTTTAACTTTAAAAAACGTTAAAAAAAAATTGGCTGGAGTTGCACTTAAAAAATGTCTATCGAGAACTTTCTGCTTCAGGCCCCTCCTCTGCTGATTGACAGCAGGCAGTGGCAGATGCAATAGCCAGCCTGTTATTGGCTATTGCAATTTTAAATATCCAATAGCAGGCTGGCTAAGGCTCCCAGCATTAAAATAAAAACAAAAGTTGAAAAAAAATTAATTAAAAAGATTTAAAAAATGTAGAAAAAGTTAAATAAATACAAATGCAAACAAATAATACAAAATTAAGTTTATAAAAATAAAATTAAAAATAGAAAAAAACTTTTTTTGCTGTGTCATTATACATTAAATTTTTTTTCATTATATTATAATCTTCTGAACAACAGGAACAGACAGCAAAAGAACCGTGACCCTCCCCTATGCTATCCAAAACTAAAAAAATGTTTTTTTTTGCTGGAATGTACCTGTTCCGACTTACATACAAATTCAACTTAAGTACAAACCTAAAGTCCCTATCTTGTATGTAACCCGGGGACTGCCTGTACATGCAATTTAGCAGGATGAATGGCTCTTCAAAATGTTCTAAATACACCCCTAATTGTGAGAAGGTTCAGAAATCTCATTGAGAGATATAAAAAAAAAATCACTTGTTTGCAGTGATTGCCTCTACAAAACTTTAGGAGGGCTATTCACAAAAGGGTGAAGAGTTTGGAGAAGACAGGAGAAGTGAACAATCTAGGACAACATAGCTGATATGGAAAGTGAGCTGAATTGGAGAATTTTCCCAGCTATGTTGTCCTAGATTGTTCACTTCTTCTGTCTTCTCCAAACTCTTCACCCTTTTGTGAATAGCCCTCCTAAAGTTTTGTGAATAACCCTGCAGATTAAGTGTCCCATCATTTTTGTCCATGCCATTTTCATTTATCTTAATATTTAAAATATGCTGTTGAATCAAAAGCAAAGCCCGATTTGTATTAATGAAGAAATCAATAATGACTGTCAATACTTTTGGCAGTTTCAAGTTATTTCAGAGAAATTGATCCACTTTTTTTGTGGAAGGGTATCAACAAATGTCTCCATGTCTGTACAGACCTGCATAGTCATCCACCATGTCCTATAATAATCTATTTTCATTTTAGAGACAAACAAATATCGACAGACAAATGCTGATGGCTGTCAAAATGGGGCTAAAGAGCAAAGACCTACATTTATATGTAAGGACACCATAAGTTTCTGTGGACTGATGTAAGTTCCTGTGAGCTTCTCAGTCTCGCACAAATCTGCATTACAATAATAAGTTACGATTATCTCTGATGGATTACTGTATTTTTCTGCATTTGTCTGTATTCCAATGGAGAGCGGAAGAAGAGAGCATCACTTATCTCACTGAACAGTAGTGACTGTCCAATCAATGTTCCCCTGACAGCAATAGACTGTTAAGTATTTGCCTCACCCTTTAGACAAGAGATGGCTGCCCAATCTAACTGAACATCTGCCAAAAAAACCCTGTTGTATAATTCACAGTAATTGAAAAGCATGAGTTGATTAAAAAAACAACAGATTAAGGGTGCCTTTGGATGGACATAAAGGTTTGAAATCTGCAGTGCTAACAGCGGCTGTTTGCAGGCCTCCATTTAAGATGGATGGAGGTTACTGCAGAGTACACTGCACATTGATGCAGGTCTGCAAATAATGCACATTTCTTTATTTTCTTTTAGATTGTCTTCCTGTTTGTGACATAATACAGACATCTGGGTACACATACTCTAAGTTAACTGGTTGCCATCCGCTTGTTGTACATAAACGGGCGAACAGCTCGCTCTTGGATGTGGGTCACTGCAAATAAACGGCTTTTTTTCCTGCTCGTGCACACCCCTGGCACGCGCATGAGCAGGACAAGGTAAACATTGTTTACAGCCAGAAAGAGCCCCCTGATCACTTCTATGGTGAGTGTAAATGTGCGGTGCCTCCCTCTGCCGCCGGCTATCCTGGGCTCCACTGTACCCCGTGCAGGCCCGGGACCAGCATAGTGGGTCCATGTTTTTCGATCGGAGGAAGATCAGCACACGTCCACCTTCTGATCTCCCCAATGATCACTGTAAGCAGAAGTGATGTGAATTGCATCACTTCTGGTTTCAGTGTGTCATTTCTCCACTGCAGTAGCGGGAAAAGAAGCTGGTGAAGCACGATCTGTGGGGTCCATAGGTGACGTTAGGGATCTACTAGATCCCTGATGTCTCTATAAAGAGGACCTGCCACTATATTTAAAATGTGGAATATAACATGGGTGCAAAAAATGAAAAAAGGGCCTCAGTCATGAAGGGGTTAAATAAATAAAAAGTCACATATAAAAAAAAAAAGATCTTTAAAGTCCCCTACCCCCTGTACATAAACGCAAACATGCGTACGGTGCATCTATGTGCAAAAATGACGATTCTGCCACACATGTTACATATCACGGAGAGCGAGCAATGATTCAAGGGTGATCAATCACTGTTAACACTAAACTGAGCAGTAAGGCCCCATTCACACAATAGCGGTTGGGGATCAGTGCGGATTTTAAAAGGGCGGTTTTGGGTGTTTTTGGTTCAATCTGATTTTATTAAAGTTTTTCGATTTTTAATACAAATCACAATAGACATGTTTACATAGGAGACAATAACAACCAAAAAAAGGGAAATAGAAGCGAAGAGGACTACACCCCTCGGGGTACAGCGTATAGCAAAAGTAACATATCCCATGACAAACTCAGACTCCGGGCTGGTTCTATGGTCCTATAGTTAGAAACAAGCAGTGTGTAGGTACATGGGGTAAATGGCAATCACGGTATATGGTAATTCTACTATCATTGAGTAGTATATGTGTTTCCCCGCCTAATAGCTCCAGGGGTACCATTACAGGACCACATATGTATTCGCCTATCATTGTGAGAGTCTGGGAATGAGGCCAGGGGACATTAAGACATTGGGTTTGTGTGCAGGCTGAAGCACCATTAACCAGGTGAGAACCCCTAGCGGGAGAAGAGTAAAGAGAGCCGGAATGCAGCATGACGAGGTGAGTAATCTAATCAGAAAAGAAACATGAAAAAGAAAAGGAGAGAGATTGAAGAAAAAGAAGAGGAGGGAGAGGATAGTAAGGGCAAAGAGAATAAGTCAAAGAAGGATCCGAACACTGCCATATATTTCATCCACCTCAGTACGCCAGGGAATCAAACGGAGACGGCCTCAGTAAAGGCAGCTGATTCCCTGAATGAGATCCAGACAGACCAGATGGGTACATAGCCAGGGCCAGTTTTCTGCTCCTCTGCCAAGAAGCCCTCCAGGTCAGCTATGCGGTCCATCTCCACAGCCCACTCAACCAGGGTGGGTACCACCTGCGTTCGCCAGTGTCGTGGAATGACCGACCTAGCAGCTGTGAGAAAGTGTCGCAGGAGGCCACGCTTTGCCGCTTTCAGGGAGCCAGGAAGCATTGAGAGCAGCAGTATCTTAAGGTCATTATCTATTGCAGTACCCGTCACCTTGAGGTAGACCCTCAGAATCCCCTGCCAGAACTCCTGAAGCATAGGACAACTCCACCAAATGTGGGTCATATGACCCAGAGGTTCCTTACAGCACCAACATACATTAGAGGGTTTTGGGTGTTTTTAATTGCGTTTCAGCTCTGACACGCAATTAAAAATGCGCAAAACCGTACTTAACAGCATGGATCCATTGAAAGGAGTATGGAAAACGCGCAACAAAAAAGGGTCAGGGAGCAATTCGGGCGGGAGGCGGTTTGGATCTTGCTACTGCATGAACGGTCCCCATAGCAATGTATGGGATTGTTCATGTCGGCAAATCTGCACGGCCGAACCGCTCTGGTGTGAACGGGGCCTAAAAACGTTTAAAGTGTCGCCTATGGCCAATTTTTGCGATTTTACGGCGCACGCAATTTTATGGCTTGAAATGTTTGGTGTCTATTTACCTGACGCGGCCCCGAAAGCGCTTGTGTATTGGATGGCAATGTGCCATTAAAATGGATCATTGACCAACAAAAACTGGTGTGCTGGTGACATTATTCCTTTATTCTGTGATTCACACGGTGCCTTCCGTGGTCACTACAAGCACCCACCCAGCTTGGGGTTACTCTGGTTAGGAGTGCAGCAAGACATCCTGTTTTTGATATTTACCTGACGCGACCCCATGTTTTATCATAAAATTGGGTAATAGTTTTTATAACATAAGTTAGGGAAACAGGTTTTTTTTCAAAATTTTCAGTATTTATTTCTTATTTCTATATAGTAAAAAAGAAAACCCCAGTGGTGATTAAATACCACCAAAAGAAATCTCTGCGTCCCCAAAAAATGGTATAAAAATAATTTCAGTACAGCGTTGCATGACGGAATAAATGTCAGTCAAAGTACCGCAGCGCTGAATACTGAAAAATGGCCCGGTCAGCAAGTGGTTAATGTACAATAGCAAATATAGGTGTGCAGTAAGGAGAATAAAATATGGGTAATGACATATCCACTCACCTTGTAGCTGACTGTATCATTAAATGTCCTCTTTATCATTTGTAGTACTTTTGCTATGGCATGTTCAGTGTGTGACATTTGTTTGTACAGCTTCTGCCTTTGCTTAGACTCTTCCATCCTTGCAACTGATGTACCTTTGTAACCGATATAAAAAAATCCAGAGGTGTGTACATTGGTTAGTTTTTGAAGGCCGCGTCTATTTCCAGTTCTCTCTAAAACTGCCTCGCCACTTTAAAGCTAAAATCCAGTTTCATATTATAAAGGTGTACATTTTAATCTAATACTTCAGATCGCATACCAAACAGCTTGTATACTGAATATAGATAGGCTTTACCCATACTGTCTCTACAGGCCTTACTTGTCCCAGCCTAAATTATGGAAAAGGGTGCAAGCCAGTGGCCTGTTTATATGAACTCCATTTAATTTAGGCGAGTTTCCTATTTCTTTTTATGTACCCAGTTCACTCTTGAACCTCCTGATAGATTTTAATTTTCATGTTATTGCTTAGCACAAATAAGACCATCCCCTGCATAATGCTGGTGGGTAAGTTCATCAAGGGTTATGTCCTTTGTAAGACCTGCCTCTACCTGCTTTCTAAGAAAAGATAAATAGCAAAAACAAAGTGTATTTGATGTCAGGTCTTACAGATCAGAAGTTAGTCTGTGGTTCTGACATTTATAGCTTTAGCTCCTCTCATGCTGTTTACAGGAGGTGATTTAGAATCAAGTCTCGTACAGATAACAACATATAGGCATCTGGTGTGTAATTATTTTATTTCTTTAACACGTCTTCATTTATATTACAACACGGACGTTAAGCTGCTTTTGTATTGTGTGAAAAAATGGCATGAGAGGGAATCCTCTTTAAAACGTTAAGAACACCCAAAATGTGATTCTTAGGCTTGGGAGAATACTGTAGGGCTGTGCCACTCTTCATCTTTCCCCAAAATAAAAAGACCCGAGCTTGCTGTGACAATGACATATATAGCCACAGTAGGTGTCACTTGCACATACTGTTTTCGCTCTACAACGTAATATACAGGAATTAAAAGAAAACATATACCCTACCTAGCTATGTTACAGTCTTGGAGGGGGGCTGTTTTATTATATTGTATTAAAGCTCAATAAAACTATTAATCACACTATTAATTAATAGTTAATCACGGCGTCTCAGTATACCGCGAGCTGTAGCTCGTGGTATACTGAGCTTTGGTTGACGGGAGGACGCTAGTTTGTGTCCTCCCGTTACCCTTAGGAGAACTAGGGGGAAAAGCCCTAACCCCATAGTTCTCCTTTGAGGACTTACCTTAAATGATGCCTCTTGATCCGATCATCTTCCTTCCAGTAGTTTTCAGGAGTCCCTCCAGCACTAGTGCAGGTCTCTGATCCAGTGCAGAATCTTCGGGTCCCATGGTGTCTGTCTGAGTACATTGACTTACTCTGTGTCTCTTCTCCCGGCTGAAGATCTCTACTGCCCATGCGCCCGTCCCATGATCCTTTACGGCTGCTCGAGAATCTTCAGACGGGAGCAAACGGCAGAGACCCAGGTAAGTTTTTACCAATTTGGTAACTTTTTTTATTTTTGATGTTTTTGCACATATCTACTGCTTGCTAGCAGTAGATATATGGAAAAAAAACTGTAGGTTTAATTCTACTTTAAAGCATGAATGCGCTTGGCTTTAATTATGTACCCTTCCTCAGCACTTACTTACCCTTTAAGGAGCATGTGATTCACACTATGTGACAGTCCTAGGTCAATTAGCACTGTCACACAGAGTATGTAGCCCTATGTAAGCTACAAGAGCGACTTGCGGCTTACATAGGAATTTCCTTCACTGCCGGCTGCTGAAAAGAGCAAGGAGTTGAGTGACAGGAAGTATATGCATTAAGTTAAAGTAAACCTGTCCATTTTAAAGCTTATAGGATTTGAACTGCATCCAAACATTTGATTCTGGCATTCATCCTCTGCATCTCACTGCTCGAAAAAGTAAATTCCCTGGGCTGCATCATTTTGAATTTAAAGGTTCACTCTGCTCAAACATAAATTCCCTTAATGGACATAAGCTGCTGAATGGCTGCATGTTTTATCCTGGCATTTGTCTTGTGTTGTTGACTACACTGCTCGCTAAATCTTTACAATTGCTATCATCTGCATCTTCTGAATCCAAACGCTTGAAAATACAGGATAATGAGATTTTAGGGTTCCAGCACCTCCCTTCCATTGAGTTTACTCTTGCACAATTTGGGTGATGACTGAAAAGTATGTGATAAGAGCATGCTGTCTAAATCCGGCAGAAGGCAGGTAGGGATTAAAGGTTACAGGTACACTGAGCACATTTTTTGACCTCGCAAAGTGGCAACACTTCCTCAATAGACTTAATAGATCACTTTTTACTTGGTGCTTTTTATTCTATGTGCTGGAATATCCTTGAAGTCTGTGCTGAGCTGTTTCATTACACTTGTTATGGATCATTTCCACACTCGCAGTATGCAGTTATTCCTTACGCTACAAGAATTTCTCACATCACTACCAGAGAACAGACACCGCATGACGAGCATTACTAAGCAAGAACATCTGGGGTAATTATAGTTTGTTGTATGCATTATTTCACACGATGATGAACTTACCTCTGAGGAAGAATCTGTTAGGATCGGAGGCCTCTCTCTCAAATATCTCCAGCTCAGCTAACATTTTCTCTCTTCTCTGGATGAGTATTACTGCCTTTTCCCACACCCGTATTGCCTGACACATGAAACATTTACTAAAGTTAAAAGCTTTTTTAAATACAATTTCTATTGCGTAACAGAGGTGCCCACAGCTATAATAATCTTGTCGTAAACATCCAGGTAAATGACCAAAGAAAGGGCAAGAAGGTGACAATGGAAGATAGGTTAAAAAAAAAACGGCATGGGGATCCGTCCATCCAATACTTTATTTGCACAAAGGCATAAAAGCGGCAAACAAACAAATGCTTACATGTTCCAGCCCCCAAAACTGGGCTACGACTAAGGCTGAAACATGTAAGCATTTGTTTGTTTGCCGCTTTTATGCCTTTGTGCAAATAAAGGTTTGGATGGACGGATCCCCTTGCGAGTGACGGTTTGTTATATAGTGCTCAGTTAAGGCTCCAGCGGAAGCTTTACCAGGCACTGAAGACAAGAGGGTAGAGTTGTTCCTTGTTTCCTAATGGCAATGGGAAATCACTAAACAGGCTCAATGACCCTGATTGATCAAGCTGTAATTGCATTTAAAGCTCACTTAAGTGGTCTCTCAAGTGATATCACACATGCTATAATTGCTTTAAAGGACACATTAGCATGCCTTAAATGCTATCACAAACTGATCAAACAAGGCCTCTCTCATCTGTAATCCATGACTTCTGCAGCCTCCGTATTACTCCCCTGTCCTAAAGTAAAAGGCATTTTAGTATCTTATAAAAAGCTCTCAGACTTGTAGAAATTTACTAATCAAATAACATGTTTTTCTGAGCAGCCATACTGGTGTTACAATGTAAGATTTTAAGGATAATTTTAGTTTTAAAATACTTTAGCACTTTGAATATATCCAGAAACACCAAGCTACTTTTCAAATGTAACCGCTCTCTTTTCTCATCCTGTGCTTTACAAGATGTCTTTACAGGTCCTTGCCGGTATAAAAACTGCTTTGTTTATGCTCATGCTGACTGCAGCCTGCACTTATCAACTGTGCGTAGTGCAGACCAGGAAGGTCTATGGATACATAAAAGCAACTAATGTGGATGTAGCCCTTTAGGATGAATAGCTGCAAATTTTGTCTAGGGACAGAGTGCAGTAGCGCAGAGATCTTTTGATACTAATCAACCCTCTGTTAGAGAGCCTGAGCTACATATACAAATCATTCAAAATATCCAAGCCATTAAAAATTACTTTGGCATCATGACATTCAATTGAATGTCATTTCTAAATGGTATTATTTTGCTCTACAGAGTTGGGATCTTGCTTCCAATGTCACAGAATTGCTTTCTTTCATCCAGCAATGCCAAAGGCTAACCATTTATAAAGGTTGCCATACACCGCTTGGGTACCTTTTCTGACTCAAAATACTTGATTACAAGTTATAATGAAAAAGTCTGCAAGATCTAGATGAAATGACCTTGTCCACTGTACAGTGAACTCTAAAACAGGCTGAACAATGACTGTATCTATTCTGTGTGATCAGTCAATATGACTCCACCTCATTGTTAATATCTGAACATATTGATTAAGTAGGGAAGTCATTTTCCTTGAATATTTACATTTTCATTGTATGCCTATCAATATGGTGTATTGTGTCATGACAGGAAAATGTATATCCCAAAAATTCAACTCATATTCAGTAGCTAGTACACTCCTGAATACCACAAAGGTTGAACATATACTGTTTCTAGATAACTTAGACTACTTCAGGTGTAATGATGTTTAGAAATACAAATCTTTTACCTCTGGCAGCCGGTCTCTGTATTCATTGGAACTATATTTAATAGCCATATCCAGTCGCTGGCCTTCTGGTACGTGAAGTGCATTCCAAACCGCATTGATCTTGTTCTGAAGATCTAGATAGCTGGCAGATGTAACTCTCTATTTGCAGAAATACAAAATAACTGTATAATAGTATGAGCAGGGATGACGGTAGTACTCTCTTTTCTTTTACAATCCTCTATGAATAGATCGCTATATGAATGCAGTATTTCCATAGTGATTACAGGATAAGCTAAATTTATTGTAAAATTGTACACAGCTTGTACTTAACCTTGCATAAATGCCAAGCACTAACTTGTACTTCCCGCATATAATAAATACAGGAGCAATAGGTGTGTGTGACTAAATGCTTATTTTCATGATCTAAAAAAATATCATAACGGGAATCTTAGTCATGAGAGGAATACCAGTCATAAAATGTTCTCAAAAAATCCCTGGTCCTAACCTTTAGTAAGTTTTCCAATGACATTATATGACAATCACCCAACGTGGATTGGGTAATGATAGAATGTCTGTTGAGGCCACCAGATGCCTCAGCTGCCAATGAAAGAAGCAACTGAAAAAAAAGCTGTCCTCGTCGGTACTGTTCCCATCCAAAAAGTTGGCATAAGCAGCTACTTTATTCAGCTACCTGTTCTCCCTGCCACCTCTCTCTATTAAAATAAACCTGTAGGTGCAGCACAGCTAGATCACACATTTATGGAGTGTTTCACAGCACCTAAAAGTTTGTTTTTTGAAACGAGGGTAGTCAGATTGTGTCTGCGTGCCTTACTGCTTTCTAAAGCAAGCAGCAACCATAATCATTCTACTCAGCAATGGATTCTGTGCTTTACCCATACGCTGAATGCCATCCTTAACAATTGCAATATAGAGAGTGATGTCAATGCCAACAGGGGGAAAACATTTCTGAAACTGCACTCATCAGCTATGGTCAGATTTGGAATGCTTAAAATGTGGCTTAGTATGAAAACCGCTCTACTGCCCATAAGCACAGGCAGCGACCAATCAATGAGACACCCTGTCTATGTTTATTTTGCTATTTCTGTAAAAAGTTCTTATCTTAATTCTAGGTTAAAGCTCAAGGAAAGCCCTGATAACTGAGGAGGAACCTTCTTTAGTGGACATATAGTTCAGTAAGTATGGCAGCACTGTATGTGACTAAGGCAGTACAAAGACGTGCAAAGTGCAACAATCAAATATGACATTCCCAATGTCAGAAAAGCTTTGATTTAAAAAGTTGATTTGGATAGAGGCTTATCGTCCTCCAGCCTTGGCTTCCCCCATTTTTTTCTTCCCCCCCCCCCCATTCCTTAACGCTATTTCTTACTCACCACCCTTTCCATCCCCTCCAGACATCCCCAGCACAAACACAATATTAGGGATGCACAGATGCCAGTTCAGATACCAATGCCGATACTTGGCATTTTCACGAGAACCACCAGGGTTGCAGCGTTTGTAGCTGGGACCTGGCTCTGGCGCTCCACCACTGTCCTGAAATCATTAGTCAGTATTGTTTTAGAAAAACTTTCACATGACAATAACTTGTACTTGTATCTGTGAGGACAAGTATTGGTACTTGGTTTGGAGAAAATGGTATTGGTATGGTAATGGTATTGGTGCATACCTAATAAATATCTATATATAGATAATCATAAATTAAACAGGGATGCGAAAATTCCAGGAGCCCTATAGCCAATGCTCCTTAAAAATGACAGCTACCTCCTAACTATTGAGGTTTTTCTCTAGTATAGTAGCTGGAAAAGTATCTGTACTTGTAACAAGTACAGTATTTGGTATTTGTGCATCTCTACACAATATGTTATACTGTTTTGTATGTTCTGTTAAACTGTTGCCTGTGAAGTTTCTCATTCATCCAGGTAATAGTACAGGTGAAACTCGAATAATTAGAATATCGTGCAAAAGTAATTGCAGTAAGTGCTGCAAAAGGGGCCCAAACCAAGTACTGAGTACATATGCATGCTTGTACTTTTCAGAGGTCCGATATTGTTCTATGTACAATCCTTGTTTTATTGATTGCATGTAATAATCTACTTTTTTGAGGTTGTGGATTTGGGGTTCTTGGGGTTTTCATGAGCTGTAAGCCATAATCATCACAATTATGACAAATAACGGCTTGAATTATCTTGCTTTGCATGTAATGAGTCTATCTCATATATTAGTTTCACCTTTTAAGTTGCATTAGTGAAATAAATGAACTTTGCACGATATTCTAATTATTCGAGTTTCACCTGTATATCGGATGACCAGGGAAACGTCTTCAAGAAAAATACAGCAAGTCCAGTTGCCTTGATTTATTTTTTTACAGATGTTGAACTGTTGTTCCACTATTAGTGAGCATTATGTCCCACAGCTACCTGACTTCATTGTACTATAAGATACATGGTAATTAAAGTGTGTTATGTATCATAATATCATGGCAACCCATGCTGATTACCGCAGTACTTTTTTTACTTGAATGCTGGTATACCTACACACACATTGAACAAGAAAAAAGTTGCTTTGTTAGTTTCTTAAATATATTTATACGCCTGGTGCTTACTGTACAGTCTATTCACACATACTTCACTTTAGAGCGGTTTATGGTGTATGTACGATTAGTTAAAAGAAACTGAAAAATACCTGAGATAAGGTGTTCAGTGATTCCGTTATTTCCAAGTCAGCGTCTAAAAAGGAATGCAGGAGGCGAAAAATATGGTTAATGAAATGGTCATAGTGTAATTATGTAGAAAGAACACACTTTGAAGAGGCAGGATAAATATATTATTATTCAGGTTCCTGAACCCCTGTAATGGGAACAGAGATGTTCTGACAGCTCTGCTACTATCCGCCCATTACGATGAAGACGTTGTCAACAACACAAGTTGTCTTTATAAAATTCTATACCAGTTGCAGTTTATTTAATAAAGCGAATTACTGGAGTATTATAAACCTCATGCTGGGGAAGTCTCTTATAAAATCTTGCCAATCGGTCTTACTTGACACTTTACTGAGCATGTCAATTCCAAGGCACATTGAAGGCACATTGAGGCTGATTGCTTTCGGTTCTTCACCCACACCAAGCATCAAAATCTAATGAACCATGGCTTTTTCTTACTTTTTTTGTATGCCGGGCATAATACTTTCAAGGCCGGAGCAAAGCAGGGAGGGCTTAGGACACCTCCGTGCCTTGCCTCATTACACAGTACACAGGTTTAACTAGCATGGAACTTTATACTGTCAAAATGCCTCTAATAGCGTCTTTTGTCTTAAGGGGCCCCTGCTATAACCAGCAGCCATGATTTCAGTATTTCACCAGCAGGGCTACCTTGAGGTAACATCAGATTTTGCAATATGGTCATTTAGCTAAAATGATGTTCACAGATCTTTTAGCATTATTATTTATACCTAAATAGTCAGATTTTACCGAGCACTGTAAACAATGTAAGAGTGAGGAGCATGCTGTTGCTTGCAAAATAGCTGATGTAACAGCCACATGTTACATGTTACTAGACATTAATTGCAGTTAATGCAGTTGAGGATACAATGATTGCAACTCCATCAGCCCCATTGAGCTATCCACTGCATATATTGACTATAGACAAACAATGAACATTTTCTCTGACCGTATTAAGATCTATCATTATTGACATCTTATACAACTAAAAGACAGCCTGTGCGTGGGATGCAGTGAGAAGAGCCCACTGAACACCTAAACAGAAATAAATTTACTTGTCACATCTGGTGTGCACTTGACCTTATAAACTGGCCATGACTATAACTGATTCCCAAGCATCTTAAAAAAGCATCACAGAAGCTTATAATTTATAGAGGCACATATTTTAAAGGGTCTGTCCACTCAAAGTGATATTTTAGGTACAGGTAGACTGAGTCCTCTCCTGGCTTATTATATGTATTGGATACTCCAACAGTGACATTTCCTGTGCATACTTCCCAACACTTTTTTTGTACATCTGGCAGTTTTGGGGTGTACAGGCTCACCTTTCCACATTCCAGCAACCCTTGTTACATTCTACATAATACAAAATAAACTAAAATCCAAGACAGAGAGTTAGAACCACATTGAATGACCACCCAGAAACCCAACTTCAGAGATCCCACCAACAGAGTCCTCGAGACATATGAAGTTGTCAGGTGGTTTGGGGTAGACTACCCATTTTAGGTTCATACTCTTGAGCAACAGAAGGTAATCCTTTTGTTTGCTTGCTCCCCAAAACATTGGTGTAAATTGAATGTGGTAGGCAGGTTAACTTCACAATGTTGATTCCAATGCTATTCATCCAGGTTGCTCCTCTAGGCATGCCCTGTCTACTCAAGCATTAAAACACAACTGATCTCCAAACTCTTTTTTTTTTCTGAGACTCAGATGCTCATACATAGTTAAACCCCAGGAAACAAGCTACATTAAATACACAACTGAAAAGTATATACAAGTACTGTCTTCTAAAAAGGTCTAATTCTCTGCTGCCAGTCTTGTGATTTAAACACATGCCAGGCAGCATAGCCAGGTTTGGAACCTCCACTGCAGTTACAGCACTACTGCAGGACCCAGACATATTCAACGATTGCTTATTGGACAGTGAAGCACCCTCTGATCTGTCCATTGCCAGGCACTGGATCATTTTCCCAGTCTGAATCCTGCTATATGACAATTACAGAAAGCTGTTATCGGACATATTTTGTTTATTACACTGGGTACCTTTCAAAATACAACCTGTTCCACCCAATCAGGCCAATCTTTACAAAAAACTTAAAGCCTTAGTGACAGCTACAGGTAGAACTTCTTTCGCATTAACAGTGTAGCTCAAAGTAAAAGATCTGACAGATAAGATTACCCTGTACATGTGGGTCTGATCCGAGACCCCCAAGCATGACGCTGTTGACGTTCCACATGCCAGGGCTGTAACTTTGCTTCTCTGCTCTGAGATCTGCAATCTTTCTCTCCCGTTGCCTATGCAAACATATTTTAAAACGATCATTATTAGCACCAAGCACACAATCCTTTTACTATGAATAAAATAAAGTCAGCCTGTTATGAACCCCCCGTGGAATCTGCCAAATTAATTTGGCAAGGGAAATGCGGAACACAAAACAATAAGGGCTCTACAATGTAAAAGCTTTCCCTTGTTCCACAGGGGTTTTTAATTAACAGAAAGTACAAATGTTCTGTACAATCACAACCCTGTGGATGTATTAAGAAAAATAAAAACCTTTAAGCTGCTGCTGATAAAGTGTTCCCATCTGATTAGCAAAGACACAGTGGTATAAAATAATATTACTACAGAGGAATAAATCAATTTACCTTTAAAGGCTCTGCATTAAAAATCAGAATGCTAGTAGTCAATAATCAGCACTTTAGTTTAATTCAGTGTAGAACAAAAACAGTTTATTGCCATATATTATCCAAGCCTTGTTCTTACAATTATTTCTTCATTCTGTCTACTAACTATGCAAAATAATGCATCTTTGGTACATTAACAATGGAATACAGAAAACTGGACCAAAAAAGGACCTGTTACTGATAGCAACAAATCAGCCCTCACTTGTTCTCTTTGAAAGATGAAATGTGACTAGTTAGTATTTTAAACAGGTCAAAAATTCAGTCTTCTTACTACAATTAAGACTAATTCTGAAAATGAGTTATGAACCAATTGGTTTTAATGTTTCATTTTTCTTTAATGGGTAAGGGAATAAAAGCCAACGTCTAAGCTGTTATAGTGGGCAATAGTCTGATTTCTATGGTATAGGGAATAAGTGCTAATGTCTAAACTGTTCTAGTGGGCAATAGTCTGATTTCTATGTGTTAGGGAATAAGTGCTAACGTCTAAACTGTTATAGTGGGCAATAGTCTGATTTCTATGTGTTAGGGAATAAGTGCTAATGTCTAAACTGTTCTAGTGGGCAATAGTCTGATTTCTATGGGTTAGGAATTAAGTGCTAACATCTAAACTGATATAGTGGGCAATAGTCTGATTTCTATGGGTTAGGAATTAAGTGCTAACGTCTAAACTGTTATAGTGGGCAATAGTCTGATTTTTATGTGTTAGGGAATAAGTGCTAATTTCTAAACTGTTCTAGTGGGCAATAGTCTGATTTCTATGGGTTAGGGAATAAGTGCTAATGTCTAAACTGTTCTAGTGTGCAATAGTCTGATTTCTATGGGTTAGGAATTAAGTGCTAACATCTAAACTGATATAGTGGGCAATAGTCTGATTTCTATGGGTTAGGAATTAAGTGCTAACGTCTAAACTGTTATAGTGGGCAATAGTCTGATTTTTATGTGTTAGGGAATAAGTGCTAATTTCTAAACTGTTCTAGTGGGCAATAGTCTGATTTCTATGGGTTAGGAATTAAGTGCTAACATCTAAACTGATATAGTGGGCAATAGTCTGATTTCTATGTGTTAGGGAATAAGTGCTAACGTCTAAACTGTTATAGTGAGCAATAGTCTGATTTCTATGTGTTAGGGAATAAGTGCTAACATTTAAACTGATATAGTGGGCAATAGTCTGATTTCCATGGGTTAGGGAATAAGTGTTAACGTCTAAACTGTTCTAGTGGGCAATAGTCTGATTTCTATGTGTTAGGGAATAAGTGCTAACGTCTAAACTGTTCTAGTGGGCAATAGTCTGATTTATATGGGTTAGGAATTAAGTGCTAACGTCTAAACTGATATAGTGGGCAATAGTCTGATTTATATGGGTTAGGAATTAAGTGCTAACATCTAAACTGTTATAGTGGGCAATAGTCCGATGTCTATGTGTTAGGGAATAAGTGCTAACGTCTAAACTGTTCTAGTGGGCAATAGTCTGATTTATATGGGTTAGGAATTAAGTGCTAACATCTAAACTGTTATAGTGGGCAATAGTCCGATGTCTATGGGTTAGGAATTAAGTGCTAACGTCTAAACTGTTATAGTGGGCAATAGTCTGATTTCTATGGGTTAGGGCAGGGGTGTCAAACTCAATATAATCGTGGGCCGCATCAACATTATGGTCATCCTCAAAGGGCCTGTAAGACTATATAAATGTATATAATCTTTATCATAATTGCCTCTGCATTCGATTATCACTGGTTTTAGTAATAACTTAATACCTAGATCTGAAAGTAGAAGTCTAGAAAATGGCCTGGTGGGCTGGATTTGGCACTTGGGCCTTGAGTTTGACACATGTGAGTTAGGGAATATGTGCTAACGTCTAAACTGTTGTAGTGAGCAATAGTCCGATTTCTATGTGTTAGGGAATAAGTGCTAACGTCTACACTGTTATAGTGGGCAATAGTCTGATTTCTATGTGTTAGGGAATAAGTGCTAATGTCTAAACTGTTACAAAGGGGAATAGTCTGATTTCTGCTTTACTCTGATGGGGACATCATTTAGCTGTCCTATGGCATATTGTGTAGATCTGTGGTTCTCAACTGGTGGGTTGTGACCCAGAAGTGGGTCGCCACCTCGTATTGAGTGGGTCACCGCATGCCTTCCACAGTGCTAGGTGAGAGGCTACTCAGCCTCCCCCTAGCGCAGCACTGTCAGTCCTTGTGCCAAGCAGCCATTCAAAATATACTGTCCGGTGCCGTGCGTCAGCCTGAGGTGGGGTGGGGTGGGCTGGGGGTATGGCTGTGAGGGAGCTCCATCAATACGTGCATTGCTTACAGCTCCTTTGCATGCCGTGTAGAGGTGCTTGGACCGGAGTGACGTCACCCACCCACAGTTCGATCGCCTGCACTGAAATGCACAGTACTGCAATGCCGTGTGTTCCAGTGCGGTGCGACTTGAACAGGTTAACCTGAGGTTACACAGGTTGAGAACCACTGGTGTAGATCATAATGGATTATATGATCGCTGTGTACAATTGCTTACTGCAGAGTAAGGCTCATGTCACTCTAGTGTCTGTCTTTGGAAAGAACTCCTCAGCCACTGGATGTCTAGAATATGCACGAAGAACACTTATCTGATTTGCATGTGTCTCTTCCTCCCTGGCTTCAGCAGCAAGGTGTCGCTCTCTTGCTGCTACAAAAGTGTAGAACATAGGTTGCCGGCATGAGAACTATGCCTGGCTCATCCATCTGGTGAGGGAGCAACACATGCAAGCAGGTAAGTGTTTCAATGCTGTTGTGTCCTTTATAGTGATCTTGCCACTGTTGCGCTCTCACCAGCATCATGATTGCATTTGTGTCATCAGCCTAACCAGTCAACTTTTCATATTAGTAAGTGATAAAGGCAAAACCCAACTGATCATCTAACAGTCTGTTTCTCTGAGCTTGAACAGTGGAAAAAGTAACTTTTGTGGTTAAAAGGCATTAGACCTGTAGCCCACAACTTCACCAGAACTTAAAGTGACATTAAACCCTCAGATTTTTTAACATAAAACAATAGTGTAATGTGTGCCTTACTGTTATCCATGGTTGTTTCCCTTCTCTTTGCTGCTCTTCCTTTTAAATCTGTATCTGTTCTCATGCTCTGCAGAACTTCTGTTTTGCAGCAGACTGCCTTGTCTCAGGAATGGATACACGGTGTCTGTGTAATAGTTTGTATAGGCTTGAAACCTGAGCCAGCACTACAGGAAGAGGCCCTGAGCTGAAAAGGGAAGTTCTCCTCAAGCATGAGAAGACATGAGGATTTAAGAGGAAGAGCAGCAAAGAGAAGGGAAACAACCATGGATTACAGTAAGGCACACATTACAGTATTGGTTTATGTTAAAAAAATCTGAGGGTTTAATGTCACTTTAAGTGTAGGCTTTATGAACTGCAACATATAATTCTCTCACATTTTACAGACTTGCTTTACATTATTGCTCTGTGCTAAAAATGTTAACAGATTAAATAATTTCAATAAATATATATTTTATGTTATAATAAAACTACAGATTGAATTAGGGTCTATGAAATTGTCTAATATGCAGTCATTGACATTCATTCATCTGAAGTAAAGTGTAGCTCTCCAAATATTCAAACCTCTTTTGCTCTTCTTGCTTCTTCATCAAAGCAATGTGTGCCTGCTCTTCATCTTCAGAATCACTGTTGTATAAATGGTAAATCACCTTTAGGTAATCCAGGTCCTGAAACACGAATGTAAAAGTTGAAATAAGCCATTTAAAATAACTCACTTTGAAAACATGGAAGTGGTCTGAGATTGAGACATCAACAAAGCACTTTAAAAGTAGATGTGAATTTAAAAAAGTGAAGATTTGTTGTAAAGGAAACATTGAAAATGTGAATTGTGCCTAAGCAGTGACCTGAAACATTTACCATTTGTTTTTTAAAAAGTCCTTTGTCCTCTGTTTGTTTGCCTTTTTTGCACACAGCTTCCACAGTTAATTTCCTATATGATAGTATACCTCAAATCTGACAGAAGTTAATTTCTACCCTTTCCTGCTCTTTTCAAAACAAGAAGAAAAAAATATGGTGGCTCTGGGTTTTAAAAATTCCATCTAGAGTCCAAATCAAATTTTATTTTCTAAATCAACTTTGCAAATAATTTTTTCACCTTTTCAATAAACCATGTTCTTGCTATCCAGCAATATTTACTGAATTTCTATGAGTAGAATCACACTAAACCCATGTACAGTATATTTCACAATTTTTACATTGATTATTGCAGCCGTTCAGTTTGTTTTCGCTTCCAGACCAAGGTTTGAATGTTCATCTGCTTGATCTGTCATAATTCTGCAAATGTCTGGATTGTAAACTGACCATGAACCTTCATTCTTGGTTAGCTAGGTCGGAAGTGCTACTTTAAAAGTTTTTAAAAGTGTAAACTTGTCAATTATTTCTTTTTAGGTATTTGTAATTGCTTGGTCACTTGAGGTATTATAAATACAACAAGCCTACTAACAATTATCTTGAAGGTTCGTATGAAAATCTACTAGTGTATGGCCAGCTTTAGTCTCCCAGCAGACCAATAAACCAAAATTCTCCTCCTAACATCTTTTTTTAATGTTAACATCTCCAAAGGCAATTTAAAACTGATGGTACAATGAGCCTGATCAGGTGGGACCACCAGGCGTCATCCCTATATTGGAGGTGTGGATTATCTCCATGAGCCTTATCTCACATCTGGTGGCCATGTTTGCTAATACAACCCTATTGGGATCAGATCCTTACTCTTATATTGCAAATAACCATGGTGACCTTCCCAATGAACCCTAGGGTACACTTATTACATAATACATCTATGCCAACTTCCAAATAGAAAAAGGCAATGATTCCTCATTTACTATAAAACCTGATCCCTAGATATTGGAAAGCCACTAAACAACCCCCGGTAGCAGAGTGGGCATTGCGAGTTCACAACATTTGTCTCAGGGAAGAGATTACTATACTCAAAAAGGCAACTCTCCAGGTGTACAATACAATATGGGTGGGTTGGTTGCAATTAAGAACTCGGATTCTTATGGGAAACTGCTATCATTCTGCAATAATTTGATCATATTGATATGAACAAAGCCCCAAAGGGTATTAGTCCTGACAAAGTCATTTTACTGGCAATACCCGCTTTTCTGGGAATGGAGACAATACTCCCCCCCAATCTTCTGTTTATGTGATGTGGTTAAGGCTTGACACTATAGCTTACATGTTCCCAATATTGTTATTGCACAGCAACAGAATATGCCCTGTTTCATGTATTATTCCTCTTGTCAAACATGTACACCAGAGTTTGTTTTTATGTAAAGGATGCGAGTGACATTTTAATTTAATTTAATTTTTGTCTGATTTAAGAAAAAAATATTAATAAAAACTGTATTGAACAAAACAAGAGAACAAAAATGGTAATGAAATGAAAATGAAAAGGCTGTACCTGTGTGGATACATATTTCATGTAGTCATCAGTGTTGACAATAGACTTCCACCAAACAAGCCAGGAATTAACATTTCTAGAAGCTTCTTTGTCAGTAGGCATGTGTTGCATGACGCTTGATAACCAAGCAGACAAAGAGAGGTCAAATATATTAAACAGTAGTAAATGTATTAAAACGGTTTTAATTACATAAGGGGGTTGCAATTGTCTGTATCTTTCCTATACTCTTTATACCACTACCTGCCCCTTGCCAAATTCTGTAGAGTTCAAATTACAGGCAGTGTGTTCGAATGTGGGGGAATTGCAGGGCTGAACGAGTGTAGGTGCAGAGGACAGGAGGCAGATCAGGCCTAGATGGATGTGAACTTCCATCCTCTTCTGATTGCATCCCGCCCTCCCTAGATTAGCGTAATTTATTTCCATGGTGCTGGCAGCCAACCCACCTGCACCATGAAAATGCATAACACTGTGCATACATTTTTGAAGCACACCTGAGGAAGCCAGAAGGCACCACAGGGGAGTGCCGCGGCACCCTGGTTTAGAAAGGCTGGTTTAGAATACTCTTAAAGAAAATCTTGTATAATAGATATAAGTATGCTGGTATTGCAGACCTTCTTTTGAAAATTCTACTTGCCTGAGTGCCATGCTAATCATCTGACCTGTAACAACTATACAGACCAGATATAGTTACTAAGTGGCTTGTTCTTTGTTAGGGATCCTGAAAGCTTTGAAAAAGATGTAAGCATGTCACCCTAGCATTTGTAGAGGCAGGTCAGCAACTGGCAACCCAAATATTCCTCTCTTTACAGTTTTCCTAACCCAAGGCTTTTACGTGATATGGTTACACTCACAGAGGAACTGGAAAAGAACATTTATCAGCATGAAACCAGGCAGTTGAGAGGGCAGCAGTCTAGAGGGGCTCTTATATCTGATTCTCAGCTCCAGAGTCATCCACAGGCAAAGTAAGTAAAGCTAAATGAGTGGGCAGTTATAAGCAGTATATTTCATGATTAACTGTGTATCATTGTAATAATAAGCAATACAGTCGTGAGCAGCTAGGGATTGGACACACTGAATGTATTGATCTTTAATGGATATGTATAGTATGCTAAATGAGTCTATGCTCCTGGTCTAATCTTGTTTTAACTCATGTTTCATTGTAATAATAAACATTTCATTTATAACTCTTGAGCACATACAAGCCAAGTTCTCTGTATGCAACCTCTACACCGTTAAGATTATTGTGTCCCTAGATCATTGCAGAGTACAATGTCCCCAAGTATTTTCCCCCTACATAGACCTTACCTTTCACACTCATTAATGGCAGCCAAGGAATCTAGCTCCTTGTTGATCACCCGCTGGTTAGTTTTTTTGGTTAATGTGGATGAGGCTGTACACACAGAGAAATCCAGTTTTGTTGCATAGGGCTCAAATTCTAAATCCTTTAAAGATAAAATAAAGGCAGGAATGTAACAATGGGGTGGTATAATATACACATAAAAAGGAACCTGTGCTTTGCCTATGATTCACTTTAAAGAAGAACTCCAGGATTTTTTAAAATAACGCTGGTACTGGTGCTAATAAAAAAAAAACATTGTGTCTAGGTGCTAAAACAACAAAGTTGTACTCACCCAAAGCTCCAAGATGGCAAGCTGCCACATCGCTCCTTCTGGCCTGTCTCCCCCTCTACATTGGAATGTTCCTCAGTGTCATCATGTCTATGCAAAGTGTATAGACGTGATGATTTACAGCACCTTAGTCCACTGCGTTGGAAGGACCAGTCTAAGAAGAAACCAGCTGGGAGCTTCGTGTGAGTCTAACTTTTTGTTTTTAACCTAGACACAAACGATAAGGGTTAGTAAAAAGATTTCCTGGAGTTCACATTATTTTAGCTAGTAAACTGCTGCAGGACTAATGACTTCTTTTGAAACTGATAGATATGCGGTAGTGCAGGACCTGTAGGAGTAGGAATCTGTTTTGATGTAAATCTGAAAAAATTGCGAATGTACTACTTGAGGAAGGTATCCCGTGAAAAACAGTATGTGTCCAATCTGGTTATGGTCCAAGGCTGCTGCCTTTCTGGTCGCGATGGGGATATCACTCAGAAGATCCTGGATGTGTGGTTAGGAGCACCTCTTACAAACCGGTCATCTCACTTGAAGGTTCGTTTAGGTTGTTTATTTGAATGGAAATGGAAAAGATACAGTGAATGAGTTTTGAAGGAATTAAACTCCCCCTTCCTCAGGACTAACATGCAAAAGAACAATACACATGTAATGGACAGTTCTACCTAAGATTATTTTAAAAATGCATTAATATTTAAAACGACAATTTGGCTCTACAGTATATTGGGAGTCTAATTCCCCTAAAACGCGTTGACTGTATCTGACATTTCCATTCAAATAAACAAACTAAACCGACCTTAAAGCGAGATGACCATTTTTAAAGAAGTGCTCCTAGCCACACATCCAGAAATTACTTATTTTGGGGGAAAGGTGATAAAATAAAGATTGTGTAATATCCTCATTATAAAGTTTAAACTAATTTTGCTACAACATTTTTATATTGTCTACACTGGGATGGTAACAGACCAGAAATGAAGACAGCTAATACAAAAATATTTTTCTTGGTTACATAGATAATAAAAAACAGACAGCATACCTGATCAAACTTCAGGTGGTTCGTGGAAAGGTTCTTAACAAGTTCTGTATACACTTCTTCTAGCTCCTGCCCAACATACAAGTTTCTATCCAGTTTCTTTACAGTAGCAGAATCAATCTGGAATAAAAATTGGTCTTATGGAGGCTGATGTCCAAAGCTAGGCTTTATTTGATGTGATTTAATATGATTGAGGTAGCAATACATTCAGAAATAAACATACACATCTCATAACTGTCCACCATTAACCTGGCCCACACAGCTGATGTTCTGTGCATGTAGTTTACCTATCGCTGCAGACAAAGACCCCTTTCACACGGGCATTCAGTTTGTGTCAGGTTGTGTCATGTCAGTTTTTAAGGCAGACCTGTTTGGAAGCCTGATTACCGATGTTAGTCTAACGGCAGCCAGATCTAAATGGACGTGCACCAGGTCTGGAAAAACAAATGGAGTACCGTTTCGATGGACCTGACCGTGCTGGATTGGAGGTAATCTGAGTGAATCTCAATGGACACATGTCTGATTCCTATAGACCAACACATGTCTGGTAATTTCATGTTTTTCATGGAGGAAAAATACTAGTAAGGGCATGGATGTCACAACTGTGACATCCATTCTGATTAACAGGGGATCCGTGCTTGGATCCCCTGTAGATCGGAACTGAAGACACCTGTCTGAAAGGGGCCAAAGGAAGTGTTTCTGTTTTCTCTGTTCATCTCCATGAAAACAATGACAAACCATGAGGAAGTAAACCTAATTAGTACATGAACATTTGGTTGGAGGTGGAGACTAATGCCTTCATAAATGCATAGAGACAGGAAAAAAGTAGATGTAAGCCTACTTATAGCCAACCACTCATATACCTATGTGAAAAAGATTATATAGTTTTTACATGTACTGCATATCCCAGTTAAAATATACATTTACCACCATTTTTATTCTGGTAATTTGATGTTTTAACATTTTACATAATTATTTGAGAGGTTGACTATAAGGAGCCTTTCATCTTCATATTACCCTACAATGATACTAATACCACTTCCAAGTTGAAGTACATTAGTGCAATTACAGCATTACCTGGATGCAGGGGCAGGATGGATTACTGAATTATGTGTAAATGCTTGCTTTTATCTGAAGCAACCTTTATTTCCTACTATATATCCAAGGAGGAGTGGTATTTTACCCCACGCATCAAAAGCAGACACAGGTCAATAGGTAGTGTCATATAGCATATTTATTACACAGCGTTGTATTTTGCCTGGTGCTCTCACTTGATGATGAACAAGATTTGGTAACGCAAGTGAATTACTTTGCCACTATTTGTAAAACAGTTGAACTCTATAGGGTAATGAATATAGTAAATAAATAAGAGCACTGAGTATTTGCAGTCAATTGTAAAGTGCAGTCTATGTCAAAGGACTGGCTTATATGATATAAAAACGGAATAGTTAAATGTATCAACTTTATGATACGCTGAGAAATTATGATCAAGGAGGTTCAAATGTGTCATTTCATACAAGGTTCATGCCTGGTATTAAACTTTGCTTTATAAAAGAACTTGGGACTTTGTATGACTGTTATTTTATGATCATTAACTAGGTTGCTCTTGACTGGTATACATATAAAATCAGTTCTATGATATTCAGCCACCCAGAGATACACACCATCTCCAGCTTAGTTGTTTCTGCAGTCCTCTAGAGACAGGAGCAGTACATTACCCCCAGGCTAGTTCACTAAAGTGAAGATCGCTGCAAACCAAATGAGCTTGTATTAGCCAAACCAGCACTTTGACTTTAACTGACATTAACTGGATTTTTTTAATAATACTTTTAATAGGAAATACATATGCTGGACTAAACAAAATCTGTGGTTTTGATTAGGCAGATTTCTGCATTGCTTAGCCTACAGTAGTGCTTATAGATACAGTATGATTGGTAATGCCATTTGCTGTATTATGTAGGACATACTGTTCTTGATGTAAGGTTTACTTACATCAAGATCTTTCTATGATAAATGACTGCCATCTGCAGGTATATTATGGAATTTCTGGCGTAACCTGTATAAACGAAATTGGTGTTTCCTGACCTTTTTTAATGCTGGGGACCTTAATCCACCTCAATTATGTGCAGTCTATGTGGTCACACAAGACAGCATTCTCCGGGGTACTGACATCTGGATTTTGCCTTGTAGGACATGCAAAGTAGGCATTTCTAAAAAGGCCCTCAACAAAGGCACCTGCTGCTTCATTTTCCTTCTCAATTCATTATCTTTGCTTTATGAAAGACACTTGTAAGCTTGTTGGCTAAGTGCTTAAAAATCTTCCAGGGTGGTGAGGCATCTTTATTAAAAAGGTGATGCTAGCCTTCGTAGCCATGGTTACAAAAAGAGTAAGTTAGATTCTCATTTTTGTATGTGGCGGATTCATTATTTTCCACACCATACCACACATTGTAAGCAGGTCCGTCTTTAATATTGATGGGACCCTGGGCAAACATTTTCTTGGGCCCCCCACCAAGAAAAAGAAAATGTAAAAAATGACAACATAATTGTATATCTCCCTGAAAATCTCACTCCATTTCTGTTCTGTCCTTCATACATATATAAATAACATGATTGATAGAATTACAATGCATGATGGTAGAAAGCCATGATTAGACATAATTAACATGATTAGATAATCAGACTTAACAGAGACATGATTGTTTGTAATTTGACATGATACAGCGTTATTGAAGGTTTAACAGAGGAGGAGCCTAGTTTTCTCTAAACTCTTATATCTGACCACACAGATTTCAGCTGCTGCTTAACTTGACTAGAGTAGTGGCGCAAGGTTTCACATCATTCAGTATATGTAACCTGTTAGAGCTTTCATCTATATGTTTTCACTAAACCCAAGGAGGTTTGAAGAGACTGGAAGAGTATGTTCAGCACTTGGCTTGCCCACTTTTCTTTATTGTCCTTTGAGGGCTTGTTCACACCACATGCAGACCATATGGTCTGCATGTGGTGCACACGCAGTGCAGTGGGTTGTGCCACGTTTTTTGCCGCGTTTTTGATGCGTTCCGGGCCGTTTTTGGTAAAGCCCATTTTTAGTTTAAAATGGGCTTTCAGTGCGTTCCAGGGCGTTTGCATGCGTTTTTGATGTGTTTGCATGCGTTACACAGAGTTACAGAGCAGGTAAAATAGTGCTTGCTGCAGTTTGTTTACATGCTCTGGAACTGAATGCTGCGGTGTGAACTAGAGCCCAAAATACCATTGGAACACATTGGACGCAGTTTTGATCCGGTCTGTAACTGCTCTGCTCCTGGAACACGCTTGGTGTGAACAAGGCCTCAGGGACACAGGTATTCTTAGAATTCTTAGACTGTCGTGTTATACTGCTATAATACTATAAATCCCTCATTAGGCCCCAAGAAAAGGATTTTACATTGAGTACAAAAATCTGATTATTACTGATGACACTGGAACGACAACAACACAACCTCTGTCATTTTTGATGGGTTCCTGTTAAGATATTATGTGAGCTCCTTGCATTTTTATAATACATGTAAGAGTAATACATACCTCTGATGCAAAGTCATTGTATATGGGTGGGTATTTCTGCATTTCAGTTAAGTGTGTGAATATTCTGTCAGAGGCCTGCATATCAGCTCTTCTTACTAATGGCTTGTTGGGGATCTGGACATCAACTGTGAAGGTCTGTGGATGGATTGTCTGTGTCTTCTCCATTTCTTTAGGCTCTGCTGATTTCTTATTTAAACTCTGAGGAACAGAAGAGCACATTTATAGGAAGGGAATATATTGTCTTTTCAATTAGACATGCTGCGGATGTAAAAGAGATACGCTTGAGTGAAATAAACTTAACACTGTGGGTTAATTTTTTTTAAAACCTTGCACAATATGTAATTATATATGCAAATAAATAATTACATGCAGTGATTTCTTCCACCAGTTTGATGCATTAAATATCTGCTGGATGGGTTGAATACCTGCTCCTCCCTGTGTGCACGCAATGGTTGCTGCCACCGTCTTGTATGTCTTGTAGTGACATATGAGCTGGCGGAAAGAACCATTGTGTGCATACAGGGGAAGCAGCTGTTCAACTCATCCAACCAGTATAATAGCTGGAGAGCACTGAAAAGACAGTGCTTCATGACAAGAGCAGCCTAAGGCCCCGTTCACATGTAGCGACTTATCGCTCGATTTCCGCCGCGATATCGCGAGAAGTCGCCGGCTAATGATAGTCAATGGAGTTGTCTTAGCTCCATGTCGCGCGTCACAAGTAGCTTCTACCGGACCCTTTTTTCGGCGGATTTTGCTTTTTTTCTATGGAGCCCGACGAAGAAGGTTGCGCTACCGTCGCTGGATTGTCGCTGGAACGTCGCCCCGAAAGTCGCGCTATCCCGGCCGCTGCAAAGGTATGCCGCTACATGTGAACGGGGCCTAAAAGGTAAGTATAGTGCCTCTTTTACAAAGCAGTTTTGTTTTGTTTGTGACTTTGTGGTGACAGGGTCACTTTAATCTACAATTAACTTCATTTAATACAGTAACACAAGAAAAAAATGGAAGTGTTAAAATGTGAATTACTATATATTAAGTAAACTACAATAATGAATCAAAGTATTTGCTCATTCATACCAGCTGCTGTACTAAATTGCACAGCGGCTGGTGTATGCTTCCAGGCACAGTGCTGATGTGCCGATCCCGGCACATGGCACTGTGTACTTTTATGTCTTACAACTTTATTGAAATTACACTAATTGCACACATTAAGTGAGGTTTCATTCAGTTGTACAGGCACAGAGGGGTGTGAGGTGGTTATACCATGTCGCATCCCATTGTGCTGAAAAAAGTACTGCGTGCTGTACTCTTGTTCACATGTAGTCAAGAACCAGCTGCACTCCTTACCGGAATAGTAGTAAACCTGCCAAGCAGGTGGGTGCTTGTAGTGACCACGGACGGCCCCGTGAACAATGCAGATCTAGAAAGGATTGTCACCAGCACACCAAAAGTTTTGAAGCAAAAAGTCCTGTATTGGATGGCGATTTGTCAATAAAGGACTTTTTGCTTCAAAACTTTTGGTGTGCTGGTGACAATCCTTTCTAGATCTGTACTCTTGTTCAACGCACACTACCACTTTCCACTGAAACGCGGTGGTGTGAATGGTGTCCATCTGTGACCTGTCTTGCATTGCGGCTGCTCTGGAAAAAACGACCCGCACAGCACCAATGCATCTAGTGTGAATGGGCCCTCAAGGTTATTCATAAAATGTTTTAATAACCTTTTACAATACAGGACTAAGGTTCCCCTGGGCCACATTTGTAGCAGTAAAACATTTAATCTAGTGATAAGGCAACTGTGCCAAACATGCAATGGAGAATAATGTCCTAAATTATTTAAGCCTTTATTTAACACTAGGGGGTTGATTTATAACCTTTCCGCCCAGCATATAGCTGGGCAGATATCATTTGCATGGCAATACCGTCACTAGATGGCACTGGGGAGCATAGGAATTACTATGCTAATCAATATAATTTAGTCAGTCACCAGCTAGTGAGGTATAGCATGAAACATTACAATATATAAATATGATATAAAATATAAAAAACTAAGTATACATAAAATATATCATATAAAAACCAAAGTATACTATTTCACCACCAATCAATAATCCTTTCTAGATCTGTACTCTTGTTCAACGCACACTACCACTTTCCACTGAAACGCGGTGGTGTGAATGGTGTCCATCTGTGACCTGTCTTGCATTGCGGCTGCTCTGGAAAAAACGACCCGCACAGCACCAATGCATCTAGTGTGAATGGGCCCTCAAGGTTATTCATAAAATGTTTTAATAACCTTTTACAATACAGGACTAAGGTTCCCCTGGGCCACATTTGTAGCAGTAAAACATTTAATCTAGTGATAAGGCAACTGTGCCAAACATGCAATGGAGAATAATGTCCTAAATTATTTAAGCCTTTATTTAACACTAGGGGGTTGATTTATAACCTTTCCGCCCAGCATATAGCTGGGCAGATATCATTTGCATGGCAATACCGTCACTAGATGGCACTGGGGAGCATAGGAATTACTATGCTAATCAATATAATTTAGTCAGTCACCAGCTAGTGAGGTATAGCATGAAACATTACAATATATAAATATGATATAAAATATAAAAAACTAAGTATACATAAAATATATCATATAAAAACCAAAGTATACTATTTCACCACCAATCAAATTTGTGCATTTTGAGCGTGTTATTTCCCTTTCAAATAAACTTTTTATTCATGCATAGTACCTCACTGAAGCTATTCCCTAAAACATTGATTTTAGGCTCAACTGAACTTTCATTTTAAATGATCTACATACATTTCAGGTGCATCAAAACAAAAGATGTGCAACATCTTACAGTTTTCTTTCTTTATAAGCAACCACAGCCTGAGTAGAAAAGCCTGTCCCCTGCCCTCAGCTACAGAGAAGGACTCTTGCTCTCTATTTGGAAGCAGTGCTCTCTCTTCAGAAGTGCCCCTTGCTGAGTCAGAGCTCTCCAATCAGTAAATCTCATTCTCCTTGCTGATGGCAGAGATTTAGCTCTGACTTAGCAGGGGGTGTCAGACGTCTGCCAACCGGCCTCTGCTTTGACACAGAGAGCAAGGGTCCTTCTGTACAGCCAGATAGCAAGGGACAGGCTTTTCTACTCAGGCTGTGTCTGCTTAAAGGTGCCCATACACTGCACGATACTCGTACGAGAATCGCGGGAAACCCCACGATCGTACGAGAATTGTGCAGGGTATGGAAGGTGTGCGACCATTTCTACTCTACGGTCGCACGTCTTAGTTCACACTGCTCGATTCTCGTACGATCGCGGGATTTCGCCCGATTCTCGTACGAGAATCGCGGGAAACCCCACGATCGTACGAGAATTGTGCAGGGTATGGAAGGTGTGCGACCATTTCTACTCTACGGTCGCACGTCTTAGTTCACACTGCTCGATTCTCGTACGATCGCGGGATTTCGCCCGATTCTCGTACGAGAATCGCGGGAAACCCCACGATCGTACGAGAATTGTGCAGGGTATGGAAGGTGTGCGACCATTTCTACTCTACGGTCGCACGTCTTAGTTCACACTGCTCGATTCTCGTACGATCGCGGGATTTCGCCCGATTCTCGTACGAGAATCGCGGGAAACCCCACGATCGTACGAGAATTGTGCAGGGTATGGAAGGTGTGCGACCATTTCTACTCTACGGTCGCACGTCTTAGTTCACACTGCTCGATTCTCGTACGATCGCGGGATTTCGCCCGATTCTCGTACGAGAATCGAGCAGTGTATGGGCACCTTTAGGTCTTGCGATTGTTGTACAGTGTATGGCCACCTTTAGAAAGAAAACAAACTGTGAGGCAGCCAACACCTTATATTTTGATGCACCTGGAATGTACTCAGCTGATTAAAAAAAAGTCCAATTAGGCTTAAAAGAAGATTTAAGTTTGCACTGCCAGGCCTCTATACTGTATAAACATGATTACACTGTGTGAATCTGCAATTTACCATTGCTAGAACACTTGTCAGTTATAGGTTCTATATTAAATGTGTACTCTGGGGTTTTTGTCATTTTCTTTATTCATCTGTTCAAGCACAAAGAAATGATATATGAGGTTACATATCTAAAATCAGACTGTGAACACGGCATCCTAAGAAGAAAGGTGTTTTGTGGTTTTAAAGCAATCAAATTATGAAATAAGATATAGCTTACCTGTAACACAGCTTCCATTTTTTTACGTCTAGCTGCGTTCCTGTATCCAGGAGCTATAGCACTTATTAGTGGAGGAATCTCCTCATCAGAATACTGTCTCTCTACACGACCCGTGCTTGGCAATGTGGAGTCCTGTATTAACCTAAAAGATAACAAAATCTCCAGTTCTGATGAAAATCCTTAGCAACAATCTCAGGATTCCTAAACTGCATACTTGTGAAAAACCAAAAAGTATTGAAGCTCAGCATGGAGGCCAGGCAACAAGTATGTTCAAGAGAAATCAGCAACAGCAGTCTCCATATTTTACCTTTAAAATGTATTTCCACTTTTGCAGTCAAATTTGAGAAAACCACTCTATGTAACTATTCACACAGCATAACAAAAAATTATACAAAATAAATAAATTCTAACCTTTTTAGATGTTTTGTTGCAGAAAGCAACATGGCTGATTCCAGGTTTTCTCAGTGATCTGTTCTTATAGAAAGACTTAGGACTGAAATTTGAGGACTGTGTATCTCTCATTAGTTTTATTAACATTTGAATGCAGAGACCCGGCTTGTAATCTTTTAGCCCCTCATATCCTCTCCTAACATTACAAAGAAGGATACGCAAGTAGGAACTTTAACCCTTAAGAAGCCAAGAAATCCTAATCCAAGAAAAAAACTATTTACACTGCAAGAAGCATCTTTTACATATTTTTTAAGCTTATGCTATGTAAATGGGGACATGTAACAAATATAAAATAGGTGTTACCCCAATTTGGCAGTGAAAGTGGAATACAAATATATAAATGTGTTCTAACCATTGTTGGAACTTTAATTTAAAATATATCTAAAGTCCAAACTCTTTTTTCTTTTTATTTAGGGTAGAGTATGTAAAGGATAAAATCCCCTTGGGGAGATTTTCTCTTCACTCCCAGCCCTGAACCCTTCAGCAGAAAGTAAGAGCAAATCTCTCCCATGTAAGGTAACTTCCCTCTTTGACACTTGCTGGTCATACATGGTGTGAATTTCAGTGGTTCTTGGTGTATCAGTCAAAATTCGTTCAGTGGGTGGCCCTATTGGCAGCCTTTCATCCGGCATCCTTCGGTCCAAAGGAGCCAGACGGAAAATTGTTGGCCAAACAGTAGAGTGATTTAGCCTGCAGCATCCACATAAACTCAAACCGTCATTTTAGGTGGGCTTAGTATTTAGCAAAAAGTACACAAACATTAAAAAAATGAAGGTCTTTTGACATGACACATATCGCATACAAATTGTACAAATATATTGCGATGGGATGAACATAAACAAGAGGTTAAATACCTTCGTAGATCATCTGATACAGGATTTGCCTCTACTTTTGTATGCGGTATACTAACAATATTTGGGCACTCGGCAGGATATGGTTTAAATGTTATCCTCAGTTCATCAGCCAGCAGATCACCACTCCTCAAATTGGGGCAAGACATACTCTTCTACAATGATACAAAAATTAAATTGGTGTTACTGATAGCTTATTATAATAGATACTGTAAAATATGATATTATATTAATCCTGTATAATCATTTAGGGATTTTTTATATTAAATATACCTCCTGATTTTCACCAAATCCCGCTCCTTGTTAATTATATTAGAAATTAGATTTCCTGTGATCAGAATGACTGAATCTAAATGAACGAATTAGGCAGCCATGGAATCAGGGGAGTGTGACAATAATGAGATCAGATAAACCCCAAACTGAGTTGGGAGAATAGGGAGCAATGCTAAACACACCCTCATTTATTTAAAATTCATAAGTCATGGCAAAACGATCAGTCAGCTGCACACACAAAGCAAACCATCTTAAATTCTATTAAACTCCATTAGCTAAAGGTTGCAAAACTTCTAGCAGTATTATAAATCCTGTTTAGCCCAGGATCTACACAGCCTGTCGTTTTGCCCGGTCATAAACGGCTAATTGGCTGTTGTAAACAGTACTTAGCAGAGCTTGGAAAACCAGAGACTTTTAATTTAGCCCCATCGTAAATAGTCATTAAACCATTCCGGGAATGATTTAAAGGAGAACTATGGGGTTAGGGCTTTTCCCCATAGTTCTCCTACGGGTAACGGGAGAACACAAACTAGCATTCTCCCGTGACCCAAAGCCCAGTATACCTCAAGCTACAGCTCGCGGTATACTGAGACGCCGCAGCCGGGATGGATCCCGACAATACTGTCTGGATCCACCCAGCTGTGGGATTGACAGCTGGCTCTGCCTATCCAGAGGCAGAGCCAGCTGTGCCCGCCCCCTCCACGTCTGTTCCACCCGTTAGCGCTGGAGGATCGGACAGGGGAGGGGGGATCCCTGCAGGGAGCCGTGACAGTTTCATTGTCACAGGTCGGCTCAGATAAGGCTGAGTGAAAATCACTCGCCTCATAGTTCTACTTGGAGGAT